TCAGCCGCGGAGCTGCAGGGCGGCCTGTGGGGTTGCATCGCTGTAGGCAGCGTGGGCAATCAACTTCAGTTTTAAACCGTTGTCATCGCGAATTTATGTTTCAACGAAGCCTAGGTCCCTTTTAGTGCTGTCCCTTGATGGTCTTTTTATATATAATTTTAATTCTGTTGATAGGAAGAACCTGGTAATTCTGGAGATCCTTCAGACTAAACTCTTTATCAATCCAAACTGTCTCAAGCACTCATTCATTTTAAAATGGAAACAAAAGGTGAAAAATCACATAAGCCTTAAATTTAAAATAGATACTGTTTCAGGCTTCAGAAATGAATCAATTAAGCACACATACATTGAGACAACCTAACCAGTTTTCATGTCTAATGTATGGACTTTGTTTGGTGTCTCTCATTTTGGGGGCATTTTTAGTATTTTGACAATTGCAAATTGACTCAAGTTAATTAAACAGAATTAGTTATAGTGTTACTCTTGAACAACATGATGTTCAGAGCCAAATGAAACTTTTCCAGGTTCTATATCTGAGATGTCCATAAATGTGGCGTGGTGAATTGTAATACAGCCTTCATGCAAATATGTTTCTGAGGTATACTCTTGTTTAGGCCCCAGACTACATCTTGAAGACCTAACAGCAGTTTACAACTCATAGCTAAATTATGGGGTAGGAACTTTGAAAAACAATGACAAGTTCAAAAGAACACCATCCAATTACACAGGTTAAATTTGCTCTTATGCTGTAGACCTAACAATAGATTTTAGTTTAATCTGTGCTACAACTAAGTTATAAGTTTGATCTTGAGCATATATTTGGAGATTCACTTTAAATTGACTAGCTTGCACTGTTCAGCATGTTATTTTGTGGAAAGTATTCATTACTTTGAAAGAAAAATATGACCAAGTTATTTTGGTTTTTAGTGTTTGTTTTTTTTTGGTTTTTTTTTACTATATATAATATTTTTATATATATATATAAATTTCAGAGATTCTTTCAGGTTGGATTTTTTCCCCATGAATTATAATAGGGATTACTATTCCTGTTGAAGGAATGGTGATCTAAAATGTTATTTGTCTTCTAACTAGTTTTTTAAGTTCCTGCATTCATAAATAGCAAGGAATTGCTAGTATCTTGCCAAGACAAGAAATGTAGAGAGGCTGTATAGTAAGCACACTAAATGACAGAGCTGTGAGATCTTGCAGAGCTATGAGATTCGATGTTTAAAGCTAGTTAATTGGACAAAAATCCATAAATAAACTGTACCATAAAGGGTAGTTACCTAATATGATTTGGAAACTATTTAATAGTGTTCAAGAAAATCTGCTAATAATTCCTGTTTCAGATATACAATGAAAAAGAGCTACTCCAAGGAAAACTGGATCTCCTTAGTGATACCAACATGGTGGATTTTGCTATGGATGTGTACAAAAATCTTTATTCCGATGAAATTCCGCATGGTAAGCTGCTCATTTAGAAGTAAAATTTGTTTTACAATCTTTGTACCTAAAATAATAGTGGTGATTTGCTTGTTGCACTCAAAAACTGGAATACTGTGTAACTTTGGCCTTAACAAAAGGATGTGCAATACTGAGACAAATAAAATCCCCTAATTCTGGGAAGTTTGGGTTTGTTGGTCTATCAGGAACTTAGTCTTTGAGTGATGTCTGAAGTGTTCCAATGCTGATTTGGTCATTTCTAGCACTTTAAAGGTGTAGCCTAATAGAGTTGCACTTATTTTTCATCTGTCAAGTTAAACACTATTGCACAACGATTTGGGGTTACTAAACTTTTTCTTTAAAACATGTGACATACTAAGGCTGTGTCTCCACTGTAAGTAATTCCATTAATCCAACTGTCCATGGTTGATTTTTAGATTTGAGGAGATAAAGATGTTTTTGAAAATGCATTTTCCTCAATTCTGTCAACATATAAATTACTGTTTCCCTAGAAGAAAATCAATGGTAATTAATATTTTCATTAGGAATATGAAATTTAATCTGTTACTGACTTCTCCATGATTTTTGAAACTTTCATGTTTACTTCTTAAATTTTTTTCTTCGGGAGGAGCATTCGGGGAGGGGGAGATTAGAATATCTTGCTTTCTGTAATTTCTGTTCTTCATGGGTTTTGTGGGTTGTTGGTTGGTTTTTGATTTTTTATTTTGTCTGGGTTTTTGTTTTCTTTGGTGGTTTGTTTCTGTGGGTTTCTTTTCCTTCCTGACCCTAGTCTTTGAATGTACACTTTCTTCCCATTTCTCCATCTTTTTTCATTTTGTGGAATTCCTCACTTTTTTCTGAACTAGTGGGACTACAGTAGGCCTTGCCTGTGGCTTAGGAAGGAGAGACTTGAGTGCTTTTGCATAGTCAGGTGCAAGATCCAACTGTTCTGCCTCTGGGTCTTGCTCTTTTCAGGCTCTTTAAACTGCAGAGCTGGCAGTTAGCCTCTTCGGAAATACATGAGGAGAACTGATAGACTTATGTTGGATTCAACGTTTTGACCAAGTCTTTGGTATACTAGCATTAGATGTTGTTGTTTATGGGTGTATGTGCAATGGTGCATGGGACTGAAAACCTAAAATGAGAAGCAGAGGTTTTCACTTTTGTAGTCTAAGAAACAGTTGTAATGATAGCTTCACCTTTAGGTTGCTTACCAGTTCTACTGATTTAAAAAAAGTCAGACCATCTCAGGGCTGTAAAAATCTCAAAGCTGAATAGGTTTTCCTCTTTCTTTCCTTGCTCCAGTAGTTCTAAACTGTTGAAGAATACTACTACTGTTATCAGTGGTAAATAAGTGGTAAAATGCTAAAGTAGTTAGCATTTTACAAACAGCACAAGAAATAGCAATCCTAGCGCACTTTCAGAAAATAACTAGTATAATGTCTTTAGCATTCTGATTACAGCCACTTATTTAAGCAGGTTAAGTGTATAATTTCATTCCACTTACTTGCAGCTATGACCTTAAGAATTTGTTCACTGGGAGAGCTCTGCCTTCATATTGTCCAACAATTTCCACTCTTGTAATGTTTTTCTTATACTCTTTTCAAACATCTCTTAAGATTTTTACCTCATCAGTTTGGCAGGATTTCTTTTTATATGGTGACTTACTATTATTTGATCTGTGGCTTTTATTCAACAGTACAAAATTAACTTAAGCACAGGTAATACTTTCACACGGAGTCAGTTGTTCGGGGTGCTCTATGAAAAGCTCTTAACTTACTCTGAGATCTTCCTGGTATGTGTCATCTTCATGTATCAATGCTTATCAGAATGTATGTTCAGACAGGTTCTTTCTATTTGTGGAATCACTGGCTTCATTAGAATTTTATGCTGATTTTTTTTTTTAAGGCTTCACTGTTTTTAAGTACTCAAAGTTAAGTTTACCTATACTGTTATACTTAAGAAATGCCCCTACACAATTTATAGTTGCTTTTGTCTTGTCTTCCATGAGATCAACTTACAATTACACAGCCAGGAGATGTCACAGGAAAACATTTTCATACTCTTAGTAAGTCAACTGAATGGTTTTTCTTTGATCTGTTTCCCCTTCCTCTTTTGTAACCTCAAGAATCATCTGAAGTTGGAGATAATTTCTCCTTATTGGAACGCTTCCTGTCAGGCAAGTCATTGTTAGATTTAGGTTGGGTCACTGTTATGGTGTTAGCCACTTTGGACCTCCTTTACAAATATATATGTAGTCAAACCGTGGAAGAAATGTCTGATGGATTCACTGCAGCACTGAGTGTCCTGGTGTGTGGCTCACTTTCATGGTTTCCTGCATACTGTTCCCTGCTGGTATTTGGTCTTGAGTTCTATGGTCTCATATGTTTCTTGTCTCATATAGCCAGTCTCAGGGTGTTACTGTTTTTTCCTTTGTGGTTTTTTTTTTTTTTTAAGCATACAGGCTTTTCTGAATCTTATTTAAGCATTCACTTTATTGCACTGGTAGCACTCGGTGAGGAAGTTTGTGTCTGTGTAAAATAATCACCCTAAAGCTGTTTGTTCTATTTCCTAACAATTTTTCATAAAAGGCTTAAAGTTCTAATTAAGTATGCAAAGTGTTCAAAATCATAATTTCACAGACTGAGCTGCTTTAAATTCTTCCTGTCAATTTTCAGTTAAGCATTCTAAAAATGTGCTTTCAGAACCTGATCAGTTAGAGGAAAATCAGTCTTATTGGTATCATAGCACTGTTTACTTTTTTCCAAGTTTATTTGGAATAAGTGAACTTACTTAAAAGGTTGTTTCTCCCTTAGTGGAAGTCTGAAGATACCTTATCTAATACAGACTGTGCTCCAGGTGCTCTTTAGTGGCTTGACTAGAACTCCACACAGGAGGAAAGGGACCAAATGTTAGAAGCTTTTTATGAAGTTAATGAATTGCTAGATACCTCTGAGTTTGTGACTTGACTGAGAGGACAAGCAAGGTAGGAATTGGGAAGACGTTTTCAAATGTCCTGTCAGCACCGTGTAATTACAGGTTGGTTTCTGTAAAAAAAACTTAAGGCATTACATTAAAAACCTTTTTGTTTGTGTGTTTAGCTTTGCGTGAGAAGAGGACAACTGTTGTTGCACAGCTGAAGCAGCTTCAAGCTGAAACTGAACCTATTGTCAAGATGTTTGAGGATCCAGAGACTACAAGGCAAATGCAGTCCACTAGGTAATGTCTAACATAGTTTCTCAGGATGATTTCTTGGTACCTCTTAGGTGTTGATGATAAGGAATGCTCTCTGTGAAGCGACTGCAAAGAAAGACATTTTTATTGTCACCCAGTATTTAAGCAGTCCTTGTGGTCAGGTCGTTGAAATTGCTGGACACAATTTACTCTCTTTGCTGCTTTTACCTGCTGTGCATAAGCCATCTCTGTTCTTCATGTTCACCAGTCAATTCGGGACAAGTGAAAGTCATCGTTCAGTGTGGTCAAATCGCAGCCAAGATTGGGTTTGGGGAGGTCTGGGGGCTTTTTTTGTTTGTTTTGGTTTTTTGAGGGGAGTTGTTAGGGGTTTTTTGAGGGGAAATATGTGGTGAAAGAGTTCAAATTCTCTCTTCTAGGTGACCATCTGCCCTCTCTCCCTTTTCTACCTTCCACAGAGGGTTATGAAGTGCTGTCTGTCTTAGTCTGGGAGGCCTGGTGGATAAGCATCCTTTCAGCCTCATAGCACATGTTTATTTCGGGAGTCCTCTCCCTTCCCCCTTTGCCCTCCCCTGCCCCCTGAACTGGCCAACTGGTTGGTGCAAGATAATGCCCATAATAATCTTTTAAGATGTATCCAATTTCTCCTCATTTTGCTTATGAGAGTAATTAATGTAGAACAAGTTTGCACATTATATCTAAGGACTGTGAGAGTTTTCTTATGGTTAAACCCAAATTGGGCCCTTCAGGAAAGAGTTTAACTGTAGTCATTGACGAAGTAACTGTGCAACTTCAACAGAAGGGTGGGTAGGTATTTGTTTAGTGTCAATTACTGCTTGTTGTCATTAGGTAGGAAGCATTGTTATTGCTGTTGTAAGTGTGTCTAAACAACTCTGCAAAATTAATTAAATCCCTTCTTCAGCTTTACCTGCTCTTAAGATTTCAAATGGAGCATAGTGCATCAGGTAGAGCTCCTATGGCTCAACTTGCATTTGAAGGTGGAGCCTGTATGTGGATTTATTGTTGGCAAGCTTTATGCATCTACTGATAGGCAACAATGTAATCTTGCTTCTGGAATTTTCTTAGAAAAATACAGAATGCACAAATCTCTTTTTCTAGTCTGCAGAAATCTTGATGAGGTCTACCTTTGTTTGGGACCCCCCCTGAAGAAAATGGGTCCCTGAAGAGGGAAGAACTTGATGAGAATTTATTTCTTGTTTCAAGTGCAGGTTATCCTTTTTTCCTTTCCTCTCTTTGCCCAAGTTACTGAGAAACCTAATCAACACTTTTGGCCTATGTTTTCTCCACTCTGCATTGTTTTCTGAATTTGTTATAGCCTAATTTAGAACACTTAGTGCAGAAATGGTGAGGTGCAGTGTATTGGGTCTCAATGCACACGTGAAACAAGATGTCAGTACAAATCATGAAATTTGTTAGCTTTCCAGCACTTCATAAAAAAGCTTGTCTTCTGTTCTGATATCACCAGAACCTACTTAAGGTTCTGCTGTAAAAAGCGTTGTTAGGATAAGTATCTGTTTTCAGCATGGATATTTATGTCAGATAATTATATTAAGAGAAGGAATTACATTTGCTTATGACTTGGGTGGCTGCGCAAAGCCAGGAGCTACTCGACAGCTTTTGGAAGTATAGCTTTGAAAATGAAAGGCCCAGCTGCCATTAGTTAACTGCCTTGAAGTTACTAACTGGGACTCTTTTAATTTTAAAGAAGAGATTTTTCTGATACTATCACAACTCTATTCAAACCTAATTGAACTTCTGAACAATATATAGAGATCTTGTTCAATTCTTGCTTTGCATTTAGCCAGATTTTATAAAAATATTTGGCCTAGAAAAAAAAAAATTACCATGCTGCAATTCTAAGTACTAACATTTCTTGAGAAAAGTATTCTGTTATTTGACCTTTGATTCACAGAAGTTGGTCAGTACTACTCATTCCAAATCAGAAACACCCTGTTTGGAAACAAGAGATATATTCTGTGCATTTTTTGATTGTAACTTGCCTAATGCTATAAAATATTAGCCCTGCTACTCATATGCAGCAAGTTTTGTTTCAAAACTGGTACATTACTTCTGTTCTTAAAATGTCTGAAAACTTCGCCGCTCAGAAATACTGCTTTCTGTTATTGGCTGGACAGAAACACTAATCCATGTTGTTGGGGTTATACAGTAATGGGGAGAATTAGGCTGAAAGGTGTCGGTCTGTCTAGACCCGAGCAGTGTGCTGTAGACAGTAGAAAGCAACTTTTGATTCTTTGACTTTTGGTGATTTGGATTCTCTATCAAATTTAGAGCTGTATAGTACCAGGGCTTTAGATCACAGCTTTTGATCAGTGACAGTGCTGCTTGGAACATCGAAGTCTGGGAAATGGTGGACGATGATGTTTAAAGGAGAATTTGCAAGTGGCAGTTTTTTCAAGAATAAGCCAAAACACTTCACTTTCTTTTTTCTGTGCAGCTGTTGGAGGACATTGACTTTAAAATTACAGAGGAATACTCAGTATTCCTCATCCCTGAAGTACGTTCCACTGGAAGAAACCCATGAGATTATTTCATAGCTTCCACCAGTATTAGTGGGGATTGTGATTCTTGGCTACCTTGGCAATGTGCCATTTCCCTGTGGAATCTTGTACCATAAATTCTAATTAAACAAACTCACAGCTTTGCAGTCAGCTGATTTCAGAGTAAATAGGGAAAACTTCCCATGCGTACACTTTTACTATGTCGTTGTCCCAAGAGCAATTTGTAGCTTGATACTCTCCTCTTCAGTTATTACATGTACCCAAGATTAATCAAATATGATAGTTCCATGAATTGTCCATGTTGTCTTTGCCACATGATTGATTGAAGTGTGAATGTACAGAAGAGATGAATTGGAGGGTAGCTACAGGTATAGAAGCATGCTTAGAGGGTGGGGGGATGGGGAATAGAAAAGTGTTGTTAATTCTTTCTGTGTTGTAGAAAGACAGTCTGTACAAAGTACCAAATTGAAAATATGAATTAAACTGTGGATCTTGTTGCCAGATGGTTGCAGCAGAGTTTGAACGGAATTCTTGCTGTATTAAAAAGCCAGTGTGCTAAAATTTCACTCTAAGAGCTGATCAAGGTCCATTGCAGAGACTGGATAAAAAAAACAGTCTTTAAGTTAACTATTGTTTAAAAATAGGTATCTAAAGTCCTGTGGTCATTAACATGAGACTTACTCATGGTAGATAATTTCATGCTGGGCTACTGGAGGCTTGAACTTTCCTTTGATCTAGATGATACTGCTTGTCCTTTTGTTACCTGTGTTGAATTAAAAAAAAAAAAAGCTTCAGAAATGTGGTCACATGTGAATTAGATGTTTAGAACTTGCTGAGTATGATTATTTTTTTTAATAGTTTTGCATTCTGCAGACATTTGCTGTGGTAGAGGTATTCTTGCTAACCACTGTGTCCCAGTGCTAACAGTGGGATAAGTTTATTTTCTAATTCTGTTTTACTTTAGTTTTTGCTTTTTTTTTTTCCTGTTGCCTGTTAAATTCAAACTGCTTGGCTAGAGTAATTGCTGCAGAATGAGAACATGAGTGTGGGAAGAGCTCCAAGTAAGACTTTAACTTTCATACTGAAAGCTAAGGATGCCATCACATTTAAAACAACATCCCACCTTTCCTTAACTAGTAATTGTTGCACATGGCATTCTTTATTTAAAATTGTAATAATTTTAACTATCTGAAACTTCTTCATGACACTTTAGGAATAGTTGGCTGACTCTGCAGTTGCTTTTGCACAACAGGTGGAGGAGTATCACTTAAATTTATATTCTGGGTATTTTACTTTTAACAGCTAAAGGTTGTGTTGTGTAGCATGTTGCATGGTGACTATCAGTTTGTTTTGTAAAAACAGCAGTTTTTATCTCTTTGTTATAGGGATGGTCGGATGCTGTTTGACTATCTAGCTGAGAAGCATGGTGTAAGTGTTTTAATTCTTGTATCTGTTTGAATTCAGTTCTAAACATCTCTACCCAACCTCCCCCACAGCCAACAGCATTGAGCTTTTTGGCCTGTCTCATATCAATGTAGCTAATAGGCAGAATTCCTAATGCTGATGTATTTTATTTGAATGCCTTCGAACTTTTATTTTTATACAAACAAAAATAAAGCTGGAACTTAGTGTTAGCTGCATTCTTCTAACAAGATGTGCTTTACTTTCTGATACAGAATTTCACCTTTTTTCCAGTATTGCTATAGTCTTTTAATTCAGTGCATGGATTAAGAGTATAATAGTTTTCTATTGTCTTTCCTGGGTACAATGTCTTTCAAAGAACCCAAAGACTTCAAAGGTTACTTGACTATTAAAGCTGGCTTGTAACAGCATGTTTCTTTTTTCCTAGTTAAGAAAATTTTGTTTGTTTTATTCCTTTTCAGTTTAGGCAGGAGTACCTAGATACACTCTACAGGTATGCAAAATTCCAGTATGAATGTGGTAATTACTCGGGAGCTGCAGAATATCTCTACTTCTTTAGGGTTCTGGTAAGTTTTGGGTGTTTGTTGGTTTTGGGTTTTTTGTGGTTTGTTTGGTTTTTTCAGTGAAATACTGAGACCAGTAAGTTGTCTGTATTAATTATTAAAATCCAATCCTTTTTAAGCTTTTTTGAAATAATTACTGTGCACCAAAGAAAAGTTGAAAATGACTGTTAATAATCATCACTGACTATTGTCCAACAATTTTGTTTATTTTCATATTGAATTCAGATTTGTCCTTTAAATTTGTAGGTCTTATGGTAACATTTAATTACGGAATACTTCTTTACGCGCTGTAAATGTATCCTGGAAAAAATATTAACATAAAAAACCCAACAGCAAAATGGATACTTGTTTTTATGCACAGATGTAATCCACAGTGAAAAGCTTGCAGGTGGATTGAATTGGTGGTGATGCTGAACTGCCAGCTTCTTATCTGAACTCTTATCTGCCTTTTCTTGAATTTTGTGATGGATCTAAGAGTATAAGTCATCTGCCTAGAAAATGTAAACAGCTTAAATGAGAATGGTAGAACCAGATCCATCGTCTCTGAAGCAACTCTTCTCATGCTGTTGTAATTTATACATTTTGGTAATGGTGGGAGTGAATTTTGAGAATGAAGATTTAATGTCTTGTAAGAATCTCAACACAGTAAATTTATTGTTGGTGGTCAGTGAATGTGCCATTTTACTAACAAATGGAAATTTAAGGTAACTGCTTGAAAATCCAGATACTGTAGCTAGGACAGCTGCAGTATCCAAAGGCAGTTATTGTGAATAGCTTACTGTAATTATGTGATTTGGAACCAGCACAGTGCCTGTGAACCTCCTCAACTTAAAGTATCTGCTAAATTAGCACCTTGGTTGCCTGGAAGATAATGACTTCTAAACTGTGTTTCTCTCTCGGATAGATATGTGGAGCGATTGTTGAAAATATGTTGTGGCTCATATGTTGAGGCTTGTTTCTTGCTCTCTAATTTCTAGTCCCATCTAAAAATACCCTTAACCTTCTAAAATGTTGCTAGAGTAAATAACAATAATACCTGTAATTGACTATAATTAAGAAGCAAAATTGAGAAATGTATCTTTAATCAGAAAAGGGTTTAAAGTAGGAATGAGTAGAATTTTTAGTCTAAATGTTGATGATAAAGCTGACTTTTTAAGTGTTATAGGTGCATTCCATGTGCTGAGAGGGGAAATAAAAGTTACATATGTAGGCTTGTGGGCAGCTGTCCTTAATTCTTCGTGTTTTAATTCTGGGCTTAGCATTATGTTCTTCTATGTCAAATAACTAAAAGTGAAGTACTGTTTTTGTGCTAGTAATGGCTTGGTATAGGACTTTTGTTACTAATTCTGATGGGAGATTTGTTTAAAGTTCTGTGTGATGAAACGTAACCTATGAAAGAACTATTGTAACTGATCTGAGAACAGAATTTGACACTGTGAATGACCTAGTGTAATTCATTCCTGTATAAAACTAACATAGCTTGACCTTAGGACTACCCTTCCAGGAAACAGATTCACTACTGCAAAGTTGCTGTTTTACTGGACGTTTCTGTAAGAAGTACGCTTTTTGGCACAGCATGAGCAGAAAGAGCTTTTGAGTACTAGCTTTTTTAAGGTAGTTACATACTGTCATGAGTTCTTTAGGAGCCTGCTTTGAAATAACCTTGGTTTAGTAGTTTAGAAGCATTTTTATATGGTGTAAAAAAATTTGGAACCAGTATGTCATTTGGCGCTCAGCCATTTCCTTTTTTTTTTTTTTTTAAACTTAAAACAGCAGCAGCATGGAGCTTTGTCTTACTCTGACAGGATTTTCTAGTTTCTACTTGAGAAGCTTTATTGCTGTTTTTTCTTCTGTACCTAAACTGCTTTTTTTTAAAAAATAAGTACTTTGTTTGGAAAGATAGGGCCATGCAAATTTGATGTCTTGTAAATTAAGAAAAGTACTTTTCTGGCAGTATTTTTATTTTTTAAAGTAAAAAATTAAAAAAAAAAAAAACCTCAAAACCTAAGAGTATAATTCTCTTGCTGTTGTTGAAAATAGGTTCCAGCAACAGACAGAAATGCTTTGAGTTCTCTGTGGGGAAAACTGGCATCTGAAATTCTGATGCAGAATTGGGATGCAGCCATGGAAGATCTCACAAGACTAAAGGAGACAATAGATAATAACGTAAGTAAAATATTGGTCGTGTTAGTAAGGTGAGAGGTTAGAGGTGTTCGTATTCAAGTTCTATTATGAATCACTTGCAGTCTTGTTTAGGAGTAGTTTACCACCTTTTCATTAGATACTTTCTTAATAATAGTGGGAGAGTCTTCTTGTTTGTGAAGAAATTGTGAAGCTTCCTTTTTCAAATTACCTGCTTCCCTTTTATCAGGTTTGAAAATGTAGCTGAGAACTTTTAAGGTATTTCATTAAACAAAAAAACTAGTCTCAAGGATGAGTTTGTAGGGCAAGGTATCATTGTGTGAAATTGCTGCTTAAATTTGAGATAGTTGTACTGTTCATTTTCTGTAACGAATACAATGCATGTAACCAAACTATATTCTTCTCACGTGAAAATAACGCTTTTGGCAGAAAATGCAAGACCGCTTGTTTTTGGAAATAGTTTTCAGCCAATTTGGCTTCCTCACCAGCTCCTGAGTTCAAATGAGCACCAAAAACGTGAAGGG